TTGAGTGAGGCATGGGCAGAGTGTGAGAGGAGCGGGCGAAGTGGAGGTGGAATGGGATCATGTGAAGGTTGTGACTAGCGGATCAGCTTGGTGTATGGCAGGTGGGAGTCTGCAGGGGGCACGATGCGCTTCGGACACTAGTGTTTGTAGTGTTGGAGCCGGTGTGGATGAAATAGGTGGAGGTGAGTGTTTGTGGTTTTGGGTGGACGACGTATCACGCTGGATGTAGCTGTGGGTGGGTGTTCTGATTGGGGTGAAGTGAAGGCGAGCGCGGGAGTATTGTAGTTGTCGGAGGATGGAGCAGGAACTCTTCTTGGGTTCTGAACACACAAATCGACGTGTGCGATGCGGTGACGAGGTAGTGTGATTTCTTATGGTGCATGGTTGCGGTGTGTTTGGGTAGCATGATGATGGACGCCCTGGCTGTTGCGATCAGGGGTTGTTTTGCAAGAGGATTGTAAGGGCAGTGATTTTCAGACGAAGTGTGTTTATTGTTTCTAATTTTTTTGGGTATATTACGTGTTTAGCTGCAGCACCGATTGGTTGTCTAAGCATAGAAAGGGGTAGAACGATGTTTTTGGTAGCAATTAATGTATGGAAATATGCATTGGCGGACTGATCAATCGCCGAGATGAGAGGTGACGCACGGGAGGGGATTCAAAACAAAGACCTGAACGTGCGTGGCAGTGTTTGAATGTAAAATTCAGGTGTGCATTTTCTGACGATGACGCTTGTGGATGGATGTTGTGTTTGGCATTTGATCTCGAGTACTGTTTTGTAGATCTCGAAATAATTTAAAGCTGAGGTGGACTTTAATTTGTTTGAACACGTGATGTAAAATGGAAGAGCAGCTTATTGAAAAGCTTGAAGTAATTAACTGGTGGATGTGCTTTGGATGTTTTTGGCAGCAGAACTAATAGTTTTTATGGTTTGGTGCAATGAATATGCAGCTTGAATATGTGTGTAACAAATTATGTTCATGATCTGATTAAAATTTTGGGATCATAGCATTCTATTAGTTCAAGTGTAATTTTTCAATACTGATTTTTTCACATTATTTGTCAATCTTATGTTTTAATTCTTCTTTTCGGTTAGTTTTTTGGATTAAAATATCTAGTGCACTTGAATAATCCAAGTGTTACGGGATATTGAGTCAGCAATAGTATGTCTTAAATATGTCCTAAAACAGTGGAACAGTAAGTGACGTATAGGAGAAATTCATTTTAACTGATTATGAATATCATGTACTAATGATCCTTTGTCTCTTATAATTATTATCATCATGTGAGTTGGGATTTGAATGCCAATAAAAATAAAATCACAAGAAATAGAAGAAAATGCATAGTTAATTGAATGAAACAATAGTTAATTTGACAAGCATATTATGATCTTGGTTGTAATGTTTTTATCTTCGATTTGTTTTCATGTATTTATTTACAATACTTGCTTTGGTATGTTTTGTAAAATATAGGTCAAATAGATTTTAATTTTAAATCATTTAAAATTAATAAAATTTGGATTAGAATATCTATATATATATATATATATATATATGTATATATAGTATAGTACCTTGTTTATTACTATTTCTTAACTATTATTTCTTCCTTATTTGATAATATTTTAAAGATTGTGGATATGCATTAATTCAGAGAAAGGATTTTTAATTCATCATTGTTAGTCTAGTCATGGATTCATCTTCTTGACTAAATCAATGAACTTTATATTGCTTTCTACTTAAGTGTGATGCTGTCGGGGTAGAAAAAATTTGCCAAAAACAAAGCATTGGGCTTATGGCTGTCATTAATTGTTCAACCAAGTCTCAAGATATAAAAAATTTATTAAGTTTATATATAAAATTGTCATTATAGGAGCAATTTCATCAATACTTAAGTCCTAAGTACCAAAGATTACTCAATGTGATAAAAATATTCTAGAACCTTATGTATCTTATTGTGATTTTTTTTCAAACTTCAATAACTCATATTCTACAATCAAACTATCCATATAAATTAAAATTATTTATAAAATATTGATATACTTTAAGAAATTACCACACAAATTTCAATTTCAAATTCATTCTTAATCTTTAAATATTGCCAAAATTCAAATAATAGCTTCAAACCCTTACTTACACATACTCATGTGCAAATTTCTTCATATTTCATAGAATATGTATTCAAATACTATAAAACTTTGATATATAGCTTCTTAATCTAGTAACACACACTTTTGGAATTTTTGAGCTAAAATCTTGTTTGGATAGTGAAGATATGGCTGCAACCATTTTTATTAATAAAATGACTTACTTACTACCTTAGAATTACATGTGCTATTTTCAATGCACTAGAATTCCTTCATATAAACTCCAAATGTAGAAATTCTTTCAAAAAAGGCATAGGTCTTGGAATCACCTTTACGGCCGCATCTACAGATCCCAAAAAGTGATTGTAAAACTCCTTGTATCTTCAAGAGAGCAATAATGTGTCTTAAAAAGACATCTTAACTATAAATGACTATAACTTCATTACCTTAATTTTAAATCTTCTTAAACTTATATACAAATTATAACTCAAATCCTTATCTTTACAATCCTTACTTTTGATTTGCAAATGCCCTATTTGAAGTAATTGAAATTCTTGTTGTGGTTGCGGATAGCCTCTTGAATATCTATTACGCATGGCTTTTAATTGATAGGGTTGAAGATCTTCATCTCTTATCTTCATCCATCTATACCTTGCTTTCATTCTTCCGAATAAGCTTCTTAGAGGTTTGGATCTTCATCTTAGAGTCTCAATCATTTCTTTAAATTTTATATTAAATATCTAAATCCTATATAATTTATACATTATAATCAAAATAGATAAACTTCAAAATATATTTTCTTATATCAACTATCTTTAAATTAACCTTCTAATTATTTTATTACATATCATTACTTATAAATATATTATATGTTTTAGTTAATTTTTACATATTATAAATAATTATAGTACAATAATATTTTTTTCACAATATATGCCACACAAGGTTTAAACATGTGTTTGATTATTATAACATATTTTTAAGGCATAACTTGTTGAATTCTATATACTTTAGTAAGTAAAACTATGAATTGTTTGACTAAAAATAAGTAAAAGAAAGATCTTGTATTTGAAGTGAGTCACAAGTTTTATTTCAATTACTAGCTTTCTAAAAAAAACTTCTTTATTTGGAAAGCTAAATCCTACTAATTAATTCTATTGGAACTATAAATTTTGCCTCTTACTTTTTTCATAATAAGGTGCATATAATCTTTGTCTTTATTAAGCTTCAATTATAATCCATATCCATAAATCTTATAAAGACAACATATTGGTGGTCAAATTAATTCAAGTGTATGGTGATTGTAATGAAGTTTTTGTTTCTAGAAAAATTAAACAAAAGGATGCATTTACTACAAAGACTAAAATAAAGCATAGATTAATTATTGTTTATATCTTTATTTTGATTTAGATTTTGACTTTAATAAAGGAAGCAAACAACAATTATTAAATATCTCTATACAAAATATAACACTTAAAGTCATAAATAGATTTTTAATTATATATATATATATATATATATATATATATATTCTACAATATATTTTATCTATAAATAAATTAGGTATGTTAAATAAGTTAAATTAGTCTTTGCACATGAATTTTCGTGCATAAAAAATAAATTTACTTTGGCTATACAAATAGAGTCACCTTTTAATATGAGTTGATCCAAAAATTATAGAATATGCTTTGAATCTAAAATCCTACTGTATACTTTCATGACAAACAAGTTTAATACTTATATGGCAAGAAAGAACAACATATTGTATAATAGCATTTTGATTTATTGACTATAAACTATACAATGACAAACAAAACCGAGTACAAAATCTGAACATTCATAGTTCATTGATCCTTCCAACTGACACATAAGTCAATTGATAAAATTACTTTTTTATTGTGTGTATTCATCCAGTCCTCTACATGGATGAAAAATCTCATTATCATTTGAGGTAGGGTTTATGAAAAAAGTGTTGTAGAAGCACAGAGATGTGCGTACTCAGTTTTGGTTGTTTCTTCTTGTTGAATTTCGAAATTTCAATGTACACTCCTTGTTGCAAGATTTGAGGGCATTTTTTGTTTGTTGTGTTGCTCTTATTGTATACTATCTATAATGAAAGTTGATTTGTCAATTGTATCTCTATGCCTCGATTGTGTGAATCATTGAAGCACCAAACATTGGTGCAGCTTAGGAGTGGTGTTTCTACAAGAAAAGTTGCAGACTCACTTGGAATGAGTCAGTCTTCAGTAGCTCATCTAAGGAGGGAGATTGGTGGTGAAATAGAAAAGCATAGAAGAGGACGTCCAAAGGTTTTAGGAGAGCAAGAGAAGCGACTTGGTGTGCACCTTGTCACTGCTGGTTGTCTCAAAACGACAAATGCAGCTGCAAAACAACTTCGAGAAAAAACAGGTAAACACTTCTCAGACATCACCTTGAGGCATGGTTTGAGAGAAGCTGGTTTGGGTGCTTGTGTGCAACAAAAGAAGCCTCTACTTGCCAAAAGATATGTTCTTGCAAGGTTGAGTTTTGCTCATAAATACAAAAATTGGACCGTTGATGATTGGAGACGGGTTATTTTCAGTGATGAGACAAAGATTTACCTAATCAACTCAGATGGTAGGTCTTGGTGTTAATTGAGAGAAGGAGAACGACCTGGACCTAAACATGTTAGTCAAACTGTCAAACATGGTGGTGGTTCAATTATGATTTGGGGTTGTATGACTGCTTTTGGGCCGGGTGCTTGGTATCAAATTGAAGGTAGAATGGAGCAACACTTGTACAAAAAAAATTTAGAAAC